ATGGGATGGGATGGGATGGGATGGGATGGGATGGGATGGGATGGGATGGGATGGGATGGGATGGGATGGGATGGGATGGGATGGGATGGGGAGCCCACTCCAAGCAGCACCTCCCTGCGGGTCTGCCATTCCCCCAGAATGTGGGATGAGCTGTGTCCTGACCCACTGATGGCAGATGGGGACTGCCTGGCTGGCTCAGCCCCAGAGGACTGTCCTGTGCCACTGACACAACCCCTGAGCAGCCTCTGTTCCCCAAAGCATGGCACATCCCTGGAGGTTCTTCTGCCCAGGAAGAACCAGCTCCAAGGAAGCCCCTCCAGCCCCAATTCCCGGGATGTGCCCCTACCACGGCTGTGTCCTGTGCCAGGGGCTGGCAGTGCCCTACATGATGGAGCAGGTGAAGCCACAGCACTCCTTGAGCAGGGTCAGGCCCGTCTTGGTCATGTAGGGAGCAGAGGTTTGCTGTCCCCTCGAGGTCATCTTCTTCTCTCGGACAGGAGCTGCAGGGAGAGGAACCCGCTCTGCCTGGGGACACATCCCCTGAGGCTGCTGACCCTGCTCAGAGCCACAGCTCCTGTACCACCCGGGGTGCTTTGGGGTGTCCCCAGCTCCTGCACCACCAGGGATGCTTTGGGGGGTCCCCAAGGCTGGGAATGCCTCCCATGGCCATGGGGAGGTGACAGGGGACAGGGACAGGGGTGGCTGTCATTGGAGGACAAGATGTCCATCCTGTATCCATCTGAGGTGTGAGGAAATGTTAAAGGGCCAAAGGAATTCTGTCAGCCCTAAATGTGTCCATTCTCATAGGACACAGTGGGAGATGCCAGCAGGGAAATGGATTCCAAACATYTGTTCCTGTTCCAGATGTTTCCAMAAGGTGATCTCMAGCACCAGCATCCCCCAGCTCCATTTCCCCACCCTCCTCCAGTTGGGCCAGTCCCAGGCAACGAAACCTTGGGGAAGGAGTGTTTGGGAAAGGGGAAAAATGCCAGGGAGGCTCCGTGCAAGGAACAAACCCCCCAGCACCTACTTGCTCTCTGGAGRTAGTTCTTGGAGAGCTTGCTCTGCAGGAACTCGGCCATCTCCTTGTCCTCTTCCCTTTCCCTGGGGCAAAAAACTTGGTCACCGTTTGGGAAAAGAGCAGCGAGGCCCCCAGGAGCCATGGGAAGGCAGAACCCAGCTCAGAGGGCAGATTGCACTGTCCTCAGTGCCAGCAGAGAGTGACAGCAGCTACCTGAGCCTCTCGAACTCCACGTCATCCACCAGGAAATCCCGAGTCTCCACCAGCTTGTGGATCTGCTGCACCAGCTCCTCCTCCCTCTGCTTCTCCTCCTGGGACTTCTGGTTCTCTGCAGCACATGGAGCACAGTTCACACCCACAGGAGCACAGTTCACCCCAAAGGAGCACAGTTCACCCCAAAGGAGAACATTCACCCCACATGGAGCACAGTTCACACCCACAGGAGCACATTCACCCCACAGGAGCACAGTTCACCCTACAGGAGCACAGTTCACCCCACAGGAGCACATTCACCCCACAGAAGCACATTCACCCCACAGCAGAACCTTTCTCACCCCACAGGGCCATGCTCCCCCCAAGGCCAGGCCTGCTCTGTTGTGCTCAGCTCTGAGCCCAGCTGGATCCAGGCACCAGTTGCTCAAGGAGCTGGAGCCTCATCCCAATCCCCCTGGAGGTGACAGCTCTGCTGCCATCACGTTTTAGCTTCTCCCCAGCCTTCCACGGGGCTGAACACTGCCAGGTGCCCCTGGGAGCTCTGCAGAGCACAGCAAAAGCCCTTCCATGGCTCCCCCCACCCTGCTCTGCTGCAGTGAGCTCAGAAATGGAAGCTCAGATGTTGTCCCCCAGCCAGGATTTGTCTGACCCCATTTCCCAGCCCAAACAGCCCCAGCCTGGCCCAGAGCTGGGTGAGAGCCCAGAGGTCTCAGGGCCTGGTCCTCATGTGGCTGAGGACCCAGGGGTTCAGGGGATTACCAGCGTGTGCAGATGCCCTGGGAACAGCTCCATTTATCCCACACAGGGACAGGGAAACCCCCTCCATCCACTGGCTTTGCAGCCTTATTCCCCTGCTGTTCCTGCTGATCCCACCCCCTCCATCTGACCTTCCAAACCCCACTCACTCGCAGCCACAGGCGTGTCCCAGGCTCTTCTGGAATCCATCTGGAATCCATTGGTTGTCATTGAAACCCCGACTGACCAGCCTTGGCAGGACCCACAGATCTTTGGGCTGGAGAACTCTCCCATCCCTAAGAGTTCCTGTTCTGTGTGAGCTGCTATGGAATGGGATCAGTGGGATACATGGAGAGAACAGCCAGGGGAATGAGGAGGGGAAAATATCAATGGGGAGCCAGCTGAGGTRGGAGCTGTGACTGTTTGTACTGCTCAATGCCAAGTGTGAATTCTCCAGCCAGCTCCAGAGCCAGCCCAGCCTGGATCAGCCACTAGGCTTCCTTAGCTAAATAAAAACACAGCAAAAATCAGCTGGATCTCAGCAGGCCCTAAACTAAGGATTGATTTGTGTTTRGAAGATGGATCCAGGTGCTGCTGGATAGGGGGAACCCCTCAGACCCATCCTGTTGATAAAACATCCCCAGCAAACAAAGGGTTTTCCTGGCACAGGGAGCAGCTCTGGCCTCGGGCTGGGCTCTCCCATCCCCTGAATTAATGCAGAGTCACCTGGGCACTGTCTCTGAGCAGCCCCCAGCTGCCTGCTGGGGACAGGGGCACTTCCCAGAGCATTTGGCTGCCACACCAAAGGGAAGCATCAGGCTGTGCCCAAGCACCGGTATTGGGAGTTAATTTACACTGGCTATTTGCGGTCAATTTACACTGGCTATTTGGGGTTAATTAACACCCTGCATTCCTGAGGTGGCCCTGTCAGAGTTCAGGTCCCCAAACGCTGCCCCTTTGTCCCCTGGCTGATGTCAGTGCCCATCACAACAGGCGATGGCTGAGCTGAGCTCCTCGGGCTGGGGACATCTGCAGCCCCAGCACCGGCTGGGCTCTGAGTAAGCACTGACGTGTTCCAACCTTTATGGAAACCCAGGCTGCCGTGACTGTCTCACAAGAACGGGGATGTGCAGGATTTTTCCAGCRCAGACTGGTCTGAGTCAACTTATAACGAAGACAAAAAGAGCAGAATTTCTGCTCTCRGCTGAGTCTGAGTGCTGAAAAGGCAAGAAATGAAAGCCCAAAGCACATGAAGGAAAGCCAGAYTCATTTCTCCAGTAGCAGAAAAGACCAATTTATCTCTGCTCTGAGCCACAGTTTAGGGACAAGTCTTGGTTTATGGACTGGAAGGTGTTTGAATTAAAAATCCCCATGAGATTCAGGTCTGTTTTACGAGTAACTCCTGTTTTTATGGCAGAATTCTACCTCCATCTGGATGCAGAGCCAGCTTTATTGAAGGRAGCAGCACCTGCATATTAAACAGCATTTTAATAGCTCCACCTCCATTCTGGAGGCTCCTGGCACACCCAGCGCAGTGGCACCTGGCACTGTGACACTCTGGACTCTGAGATAAGCCCGAGATCAGCACTGGGGAGCTGAGGGGTACCTGGGCACACAGAGGGGCACAGCTGGTCCCTGCCTGCACCCACCTCCCCCTGCCTCACTTCCCCTGGTCCCGTGGTGCTGCAAATCCCTGAGTGCCAGGGCCTGCTGCTGGGTGGGCACAGACACTCAGGG